CTTCAGTACTAGATTTTAAGAAGAAGTGCGGGGCACCTGGACTATAGTGAGAGACTCTCATGAATTGATGGCGGGAAAAGACATCAACAAATAAATTATTACATAATAATTAATAATAATGAAAAGAAGAGATGGCATTTCATGTGAAAAGGAATATATAGAGAAAAAAAAAACGTTTTTCAAAAATATATAAATAAAAAAATAAATAGAGAGTGGATAGTAATTAGTTATATATCTTGTTAAGTCACTGTCATTGTACCTTTATAGAAACAGCAATGTATAAAACCCAGGAGAAGGAGTACAGGCTTATAGTGTGATTCTGTGACTTATTTAAATAAATTAGGGAAACACTGCTTATCAACTCAAACTGCTTGATGTGTATATATATATTGTTTTTTTCAATTTGGCACAATTTCATTCTTGTTAAAACTTGGACATTTTGATTTACTTTTTTTAACTTGAATATAACAATGCGGTGCAAATGATGTTCGAGTTATTGTTTAATAACTATAGTTTGACCAGTGTTTTCCTCTAAAGCCATATGTAATTAAATATACAGATTTATATTAACATTTTACAAGATTAGGAAATGAAAAGAAAAAAAAAAACTCTGCTTCTGTTGGCACTCAAAAAAGCAAAGTTTTTTTTTTTTTAGGGGAAGAAGGGTCACAAAGTCCCATGAAGATGAAAAAAAAAATCAACGGGAAACAAATCAAGGCAATATGACTATACAGATATTTTCTGAGTCCCTGAAAACTCTGAAATGAAAAAACAACAAAAAATATACACATAGGGAGAAGTTATGGTAAAACTCGAGTGCTATACATGATTACCTTTCAACATGAGACGAGAAGAAAAAAAAAAGAATGATTTTTTTAGAATACAATATATACAGGGTATATCCAAATTTACTCACACTCTAAAATTTACATAATCTGTACAATAATAGAATTTAACATGTTAAATGTCTCACCAACTATGTCAGACATTTTAAGATGGCGCAGTACTTTTTTATATAGCTTTGTTTATGCAGCTTTCCAACTACCAAAATTAAGTTTTACATAAGCAGATGCTGTAATCAAACTCGTCTCATCTCTCTTACCCAAAATTCAATAAGCAAGGAAACATATTCATTTTTTTTGCACTGATCATACTTACAATATGAACTATTTCCATACCATGTCGTACTTGCAATACCAAACAAAAAAAAATTTGTTGCACAGTCCATGTAAAAAAAAAAATTGGATTACTGGACACATATTTTATTATCATTAAAATCCACTTGAACATCTTTTATTTTTACATATTAAGTGAGAGAAATGAAATTACATCTTAAACACTTTTCCTTCTACAAACTTTTCCGATTTTGTTATTATACACTATGTCCCTTCCTGCCTTTGCCTTAACCTGTTCAATACAACCTATTTATATATCTATTTAAAAATAATAATGCATGCCAACCCATGAGAAGATAATTGACAAAGACACTTCTAACAATTCCAAAAAGGGGAAAGGAAAAGTAGAATACTGCATATCTTACGTGAGGTATAACGCTAGACCGAACGTTCCTCTTCCAATCTAGGCTATATTCAAAACAATATTAAGTACTCCATAGAAAAGAAGGAATACAACAGAGTGCGAGTACAAGAGAGAAAGAGTAAGGAGGAGAGAGTGCGAAGGAGGATTTTAAAAATTAAATTATATCCTATGTACACAAGTTGCCATTTGTTAGAAAGTTTCCTTATCACTTCTCTCTCCGAATCGCTTTACCATAAAACCTGTTCCTTACTACCATTCACTAACCACCGTTACAGCAGCTGATACAGGTACAGAGCAAGACCAAGTTCAACCATCAGTAACCAAAAACCCACAATATTTCTTAAAGTTTTTTTTTTCTCTCTCTCTCTCTCTCACAATATTCTAAATCGATGTTTCAGTCTGTCATTCTTGTCCTTGTACCTTCAAAAAGCCATAGATTATACTCTAAACATCTGTACTCGTAGCATACTAAGTATACTTAACTGGTACGTGCACACTCTTAACCATCTGATAAAGTACCTTACCAATCTTACATTCAATCTGTTTTGCATAGTCCGAAACTAAGAAATAAAACAAATCGCATTTCAACTCGGCTGGAATAAGTTAAGACGACAAAATCCCAGAACTGAATACAAGTACGAAACCATGATGACCGCGTTCTCTTTTGCCCTTTTCATTTTTTTTTTGGTAGCTGCCACTCAAAGAAACCATGAGAACTTTCCCTAATTCAGTTGCATTACTTCTAATAAATATTATGACAGTAGACATGACAAAAATCATATTAAAAGAAAATGGAAGTTCCTCAGATACTAAAGAATTTTATCCACTATCTTAATAGTTGTATACCTGTATCCCCCAGAAGCCTTAAGAATAAGGGCTATGTGTGCTTTATGCTCTTTAGATAAAATTATGATAATCAATAGTCATAAAAAGAAAGAAAAATTTCTTATAATTTTTTTTTAATCTGAATTCTGGAACATCACCTGAATTTATAACGGAATTGCTATTTTTCTCTTAATTACGAGCTTTTTATTTATGATTTTGTTTTTGGTGTGGATGAATGTTTTGGATGTAAAAATTTAGCTCCATTATATTCTATCAAAATCATGAATTTCATATATTTTTCTTGCACTTCCCTTTTCTAATAATAATAAAAAATGTTCACAAAGTTCAGAATATATATCTTCTTTATAACAAACATAAAAAAGTTGATGTTCCAGAAATTGAGATTATGCACTCCCGACTAGAAAATCATATAAAAAAAAACGAATAAAAATTATAATAAGAAAAACACAACCAACTGGTTAGTTCTCAAAACTTAACACATGACTGCACCATCAAAGCATACAAAAACAAAAATATCTTAAATTATATTACTGTACAAATGCCATATATCAACACAATGGAATGTTTAGTTACTGCAGAAGAGTAGATGCCCATTATTCAAAAAAATAACTTTATGTAACAAAAAAACAATAAACACTACTTACACAAACAATTCAATTGAGCACAGTATTGGCAGAGTCTCATACTAATACAGATATTATTAAAACAAAAAAAAAAAAAAAGAAAAAAAGAAAAAAAAAATCGAAATACCGTTTCATAACCAGAGCCGAGCTACAGTACAACACCTTCCAACCTGTCAGAACAAACGACAGAATCAATCCATAAACTTGCCCCTATGTTTTCATCTTCACTAGTTTCTTCTATTTCATATATCTAGACTGATCTGTGCGGATCGCTCATGAGACTCTTTACCTTATCTCAATAAAGAGGTATGTGCGCTCCTTTCAAATAAGTTTTCAAAAAAGAATTTAAAAAAAAAAAACCCGGTTCCTTCTTTTCACTTGAAAACTGGACTACGAGTAGATACGGTTAGGTCAAACACCCTATATGGTTTAGGGGGGGAAACACTGAAATGTATCCCTCACAGTACTGGATTATCAGGTGTGTATATTAAAATTCTGGCATGCAACGGGAAGAAATACATAAACAAACATTTTCATATCTGTTAGTCCTGATCCCTTATAGCGGTTCAGGTCTCTGCTTGGAATGTATACAGTTCATTAAGTACAGTTACACTGCCCTTTTTTTTTTCTTGACAAAAAAAAAAGAATTTCATCAAAAGGCATATGATGTCCACTATATTCCATGAGATTATTCTTTTAAAGACTTGAATTATCAATGGCATCTTACACTGGTTGCATATTCAGAGTATGCTCTTCTTTTTTTCTATCATGCACACACATGGTTGTGCAAACACTGCTGCTTCTCATACAACTACATTTCCTTTTCTTCTGTAATCTTTCTTTTTCTCCCAAACTGAGAGGAATTCTCCTATGCCAAAGTTTCTGTGGTGATGTCAAACTCCTTTACAAGCACTAAGATTTGCCATGCTTGCTGAGCGACATCACACCACTGCTGCCTTTACCATTAGCACTGAACAATGTAACTGTCCCAAGAGTGTTTGTTCATTCTGTCTGTTGGTTTCAGCAGTCTTTTCCGGACTTCTGAAAGAGGTCAGGTCCGCCTCCTACTCCTACTGCCGTGTCACTACTTGTATTGCTCTGAGGCCCAGAGGTAGCAGCAGGTTCTGGCTGAGCTCCTGGAGCCACAGTAGTCACACTGATGGCATCTCCATCATCCTCAGAGTCAGAGGTGTCACTGTCATGAGATGGACCAGCCCCACTCTGCGAATAAGGGGACATGAATGAGAAAAAGCACATTATCAGATTATTGTGAGTGGAAGTAAATCAGTTTACAAGGTTAATCAGTTTACAAGGTTAATTTTTATAAGCTATTGGGAATCATCCTTTTCTATTAAAATTCCAATTTACATCACAGCTTTCTCCTTTCCCTTTCACTCACTCACTCATTTACTTATTTATGCTTATTATTTACTTATTCATTTACATGGTTGCACTGCTCTCAGTCACTCACTCACTCACTCACTCTCTCTCTCCTCTCTCTCTCTCTCTCTCTCTCTCTCTCTCTCTCTCTCTATCTCCTCTCTCACACACACACACACACACACACACACACACACACACACACACACACACACACACACACACACACACACACTCACACACACACACACACACGCTCACTCACTCACTCACTCACTCACTCACTCACTCACTCACTCACTCAAATGCAGAATATCAGAAAAGCCAAACGCCTTATGTTTCACAACTTATCCATACCATTAATCTTGAAGGATATTGGCCATCTAATCGATGAGAGTAGTAACCCGCTCTGACAGAAGGTCCAGCTTCATCCTCGGAGACACCTCCCTCTGAGCTCTGTGTGCTCTGGGTGGACCTCGTCAGACAGACAGACCGATGGTTCTTGCTCCTCGGAATAGGCCGTCGCATGAAACTGTAATAGGGAGGAAGATGCTAAATGAGGAAAATACTATAAAAGATGGCTCCTATAATTTAATAGTACCCAGTCTGCTTTATGTCTAAAGAAATAAAATAGATAAAAGAAATTAAATAACTGAAATTATTGAAAATTTAGCAAACAAAAGATTCCAAGTAATTACAGAAGGTCACTGCAATTATAACCTACATTTAATGACTAGATCTATTACATAGAGCTGTATATGTATCTAATTTTTAAATTTACATGTAAGCTAGTGGTTTTCTCCAATGTTTATTCTGCCATATATGGTATTACTCACCATTTTCGTTTGATGACTTGGTAATGGCCATCTAGGGAACCATCATCATTATCGTCATCATCTTCATCGTCTTCCTCCTCATCCTCCTCTTCCTCTGATAACTCATGACCGACTGAGTCATGGCTAGAATCAAATTCACTGGAGGCAACCATGTCTGAATTGCGGTTCAGGATGTCCTGTTCAATGCTGGAGTTTCTCTCCTCTTCCTCTGTCTCATTTGTAGTGTTCGAGGACTGGCTCTGAGACATGCTTTCAAGCTTTGGCTGGCCGATGTCCATTGGGGTCGACTCTGAGAAGCTTTCCGGAATGGAATGGTCGAATCTCATGAGAGGACCATGCTTTACCCGTCTGTATCCATTTGGCAGTGCTTTTTTATCCGCTAAAACTCTCTCTATTGCATCCCACTTGTCCCCAAGCTGGTGGAGAATGTCTACATCATCCTCATTGTTGTTGAGTATCTGTAGGGTCTCCTCAATTGTATATTCTTCTCTACCTTCACTTAATCTTGCTACAACTGGGTCAGCAATGGGGAAATTTTTATTAGAGTCATTGGAGTCTGTTGAAGTTAACCGCCAGTACTGCTGCCGAGGACAGTGCTCACAGCAAGGGCTCTGCTCAGGGATGGTGTTGCCATTGGGACTGGTCTCAAGGGCAGTGTGGCCGCAAGGAGGCTTCTTGTCCCCGCTTGTGTCCCTGTCTTCCTTATGCAGAGGCAGTGTGGACGGTTTGTTGGGCCCAGGGGTCTTCACAGGCGAGGTGTCAGTTTCACTCATGTCCATGTGATCAGTCTGTGTTCCTGAGTCTACTAGTATAGGAACTCTCTCATGGCTTGGGCTGAGGCTATAACCCTACAAAAGATGAGAGAGACGGGTGTCAAAATGTGTGGCACTGAGATGTAGTAAAATCCAGCTGGATGAATTAAACAATGTAACTTGCCCAATAAATGAAAATTAACAAGATAATACAAATTTCAATATCTTTTTCATCTTCAATCAAGGTAAAAATTAACACATTCATATGTATTATTCTTCCCATACTTACCCTTCTATCTACAACAGGACTATGCTTAGGACTAGTTGAACTGACATATGCAATGACCCCCCCATGACTCTTGTTCCTCTGGTGCCGTCGCCTTCGACCCGAGCCACCACGTCCACCCAGGTCAGTCTCCTGATGACCTGACTCAGCCACTCCCACATTTTGTGAGTTGGTGGAGGACCTGGGGCTGCTCTGGGTCACATGAAGGGAAGCAGGCCTCGTCGTGGACAACGGGAGATTGTTTGTACCAATCTCAGTGTAGAGGGGCTTCTTGGAACGATTCTGACATGGGAAAAGGAGGATTATTTAAATGCAACAATCTTTATTTGTCTCTCGTGTTTTTGTATTATGTTTAACTGGTAGATTCTGTTGTTAGATTTTGAGATATCAGCAAATTACTACAACCTCTCAAGAAAATATAACTATTTTTATATCAATATCATACAACATCAACATAATACACATGGGTATATCATACTAGTAGATTAATACAAAACATAATTACAAATAGCTTAATATTTTGTTTTCCATATTCCTCAAATACAACAAGATGCTATAAATGTCAATCTCATATTCAAATGTATATTTTATAGTGTGAAATCTGTTTGAAAAGCTAATGTAGAAAATAACTTTATATATCATCATTCAATGATAATGTAATTAATAACAATGATAACAATAACTATCATTACTATTATTAGTCATTTAATTATAACTATAAATATGATAATAAAAAATGAAACAACTAACCGATGGCAGCTTTGACGTTGACACAAAACTTGTCTGTGCCTCAGGACTGGTCGGGTTGGAGGATGTAAGTTGGCCTCCTCTACGAGCCTGAAGACGTTCCTGGGCCTTGATCAGTGGCCGAACTATCCTCCGTTTGCCTTTGTGTATTTGGTTTGCGTGTTCCCTCCTGGAAGTCGACCTACAATTTTACAGTTTTGATATATGCCTGGGTAAAAACAGCAATTTGCTGTTTTCTTTCTTTTTCTTTATTCTTTTTCTGTGTTATTTTTTGGGTGGAATGTTTATTTTTTGCCTAAATTTTGGGTTGATTAGGACAGGTATTGGGATCATTGATTACCAAATGGAAAATCATTTGGTAAAGGAACCAGATTATAAATCAATTCATCTCTGCATGCCAGACATATATACAAGTGTATTTATTCACATCATAATAAAAGCACTATATCATATATATCATCATTATACTACACTAGTAAAAAATGTGGGAA